ATGGGGCTCAATGTTTATGCAATTTGGGAGGCCTTCTTTAAAAATACATATAATTGCAGAAAGCATGTAAACACATTGCTAGGGCCCTTCTAGGGCTTGGAAGGGGCTTGTGAAAGTCAGGGGCCCTAGACTGTGAGCTTCATTAGTTTCACAGTAAGTCACCTCTGCACTTAAAGATTTATGGAACACTCCCTGCAGGCAGGAGCCGGAGTTAGAAAGGATGTGGAGATTTCTAAAAGGGAAAAAATGGTGGTAATGGATACAAATTTTAGTAAAACTGTTATCCCAAGTAGAGTCGGAATACAATCCCTGTATTCTTTTTTTCATTCAACAAACATTATTGAGCACCTACTGCGTGCCAGGCACTATGTAGGCACTGGAACATCGCTTGAAAACAGAAGTCCCTGTCCCATGGAGCTTCTATTTCAGGTGGTCACCTGCCTTGTGACTTGTAGTCTCCATGTACCTACTTGCGGACTTGGAGAGCACCGGTGTTGATCTGTGGCTGTGGCGGTAAAGCCACAGGCAGTCAAGGCACCTCGAGGCCTTAGTTTCCCTTTCTAACCCCCTCCCCTTCTCCTTTCCGGGCCTCTTCTGGGAGTGAGAGCTGCATGGTTAATTTGATGCTGAGGGGACTTTAGCCATCCCAAGCAGTGCTGGAGGAATCATAGATTGTTACTGGGGGAATGGGTGGTGGTGGCTTGTAGCTGCTCAGCTCCTTCCCGGCTCTGACCATGTGCAATAGTGATAAAAGAGCCATCATTTCCCCACCAAAGCCTCAGCTTTGGGGCTGATTTCAGCCCCAGTGTGGCAGAACAAAACTGAGTGAGCACTTTCTTTTGACTCCAGAGCTCATAAGTAGAGGTGTTTCTTATGTCCTGCTTCTAGAGGGGCAGCCAACCCCACAGTCTCAAAGAAGAACAGAAGACTCGGGACCTCGGGGACACAAAGTGCGTGCCTCGCTGTTTACTCCCAGCCCGTATTCTCCTTGGTCACAGCGGGGCTGTGACTCAGAGCTGGAACTGTGTTCCTGCATCATTGCCAGATTTTGCTTCGGGGGTGGGGAGGAAGGAGAATGAATGAGTAGGAGCAAGTGCCTGCTGAATTTGTAGCACCTTGGGAGGCAGCTGCTCCAGAACCAAAACTGAGAGAGAGCAGGCGGGTGGGCTGGCAGCCTCCGCTTCACAGGTGGCTGGGTCGCCCTCCCTGTGTGATCTGAACCGGAGTTTTCATAAGGCCAAGGCTGAGGAAGACGCAATCCTGAACATGGAGCTCAAGGAGAGAGTGAGTGTGTCTGCCACCTTTCCCGGCAAGAATGGGAGAGCAGGTTAGTCCTGTACTGGTTTCATAGGGGTTCAGTTTACTGCGATGTATTCTGATTCATGAAAGCCTAGTAATGACTGAGAGAAAGGGAGTTTTCAATGGCTTGGTTGGGAGCGCCTGCAGTTAAAAAAAAAAAAACAAAAAACCCAGACAATCCAATTTAATTGGGAATAAATAGGACAAAAGTATCATTAACTACACCCCCCTGATTTCATTCCAAAGGATATTCTGTCGCCAAGTGAGAGGGGAGGACAGCTGTTCTGCCTCGTCCCTTTCTGCTTTCAATTATGTGTAGTGTTGTTACACTTCAGTCTGTGGCTCCGGCAGCAGTCTGAGATGAACCTCCGCGTCTTAAGCTGTTATAGCTGGGAGATACCTGAAACATCACCTGCTCCAGCCTTCTCATGTTACACTTGAGGAAGATGACTTATTGACGAGTATTAAACAGAAGCATAAAAGTGGGTGTTCTCTGAGGTCGAAAACGTTTCCCGTGAAGTTTTAAGTCTTTGGTGGAGTGTGTGTCCCAGCTCAGCGCACCCTCCTGGGGGGCGGTTTTTCGTGGGCAGTACTTTCTGAACCATCAGGCTCGACCCAGTGAGGGACAGGAGTGTGGCTGAAGGAAGGTGCCTATTGATCTTAAGCCACTTTGCCTGGCAGGCAAGTTCTTTAAATAGAAGTTTAAACAGGAGGTTGAGTGTTGTGTCTTAACTCAAAAGGAAGAAAATGTGTTCTTGATCCGCTGTCCTACAGCAGGCTAATAATACTGGAGGTTGCAACATGGAAAAAGGCAAAGCAACTCTGTTAGAGTGGAGCTTTAGAGCTAGCAAAAGGAAAATATGAGGCACTGAAGCTTGAGTGTCTGCTGTAGGCCAGGCACATTATCAGTGCTCTTCATAACAACCTTGCAGGGTTGGAATTGTCTTCTCTTTCTCCAGATAAGGAAGCCAGCACTCGGAAAGGTCACTAAGTCGTTCAAGGTCGTGCACCGCCGCTGTGCGGCAGAGCTGGGCTTTGAACTCCAGTCTCTGTGACTCTGAGCAGCCTTGGGTTCATGCTCTGCAGGCCTCATGTGGCCCCTCCAGATGGAGAGCCTCACCCCCTCATCGGACAGATGAGGAAACTAAGACCCAGAGAGGCTGAGTCTTTGTTTGGGGGCGTGGAACTGGTTGGTAGTAACAAAGCTGGCACCTCAACTCCTATTACATTGCTTCCCTGCCAGCTTCCTTTAAAAAAGTTAGGGGAGGGGAGGCTCTCTGGGTTTGATGTCCTCATTCTATCAGGAGTTTGGCTTTAATCTTTTCATGTTTATTGAGGTCCTGTGAAGCCAAAATTAAAACTATTAAAACTTGGTATCAACCAAGTAGCAATCTTAAATTCTGGAAGAAGACGACTTTGTAGCAAACTCCGGTTTACAGACGGGTTTGTGGGTTACTGGGTCAGAAGAGGTAATTTATGAAATGAGTTGGCCACTGAATGGATCTGAAAACATCTGGAGAGCCTAATGAAAGAAAGAGCTTTTCAAGTCATGCTGGAAGACTTCAGTCTGTTAAATCTAGAGTTTGGAGAGGACAGACTTCCCTCTTTGCAAGATATGAGAGCTTTAAGTTCGCTCAGTTAATTTTGTGACTCTCTTATGCCTGGCTCTGTCTGTGCCAGGCTCTGCCCCTTTTGGCACCTTTGGGGAGGAAAGCCGTTTCTGACTTCCCCTCCAGGAGGTGGGTCTGGGGTTTGGCTGGATTTCAGTGTCTCTGCCTGGTTGGGTGTGTGTGTGAGTCAGATGTGGACAGTGTGGGAGTGCGGAAGGCCCTTCCTTGGTCTGTGCCGTGCTCCCCAGGGCTGGTGGAGTCTCCTAGCCTAGGTGTAGGATCCTTTATCAGGCCTCCCCTGCCTCCCCAACTCTCTGGGGGATCTGTGATACCTTGGGCTGCTGAAGTCAGACAATGAGATGGGTTCTGCACAGCCTCTCCCTGAAGGTGACATGTGTTTGTGCTCAGGCTGTTGAGATAAAGGAGTTCAAGTGCCTGCACCATGGATGTTACTGTTCTGTGATGCAGGAGATACAAGAGAAATAAGTGAGTGACTGCTCCCAGCCCTCCAGGGACTTAGGATCCTACTGTAGGTAGAGGTGAGGGGGAGGAGAACAAACATATGAAATAGGCAGAGAGCAGTATGAGAAAGGGTATAATCAGTCACCAAATTGTAGGTTTCACACCAAATACTCTCCCAGTTCACAAAAGGGAGATACAGGTGATGCTTGTATTATCCTCCTGCATGTTTTTAATCACTCAGTAATTTCCTCTCGGGTGTTTGCATTCCATTCTTTGATTCTCTCTGTTGATATAGTAACTCTCCTTTGCAGGGATGGGGGAAGTTACAGGGGAGGGCTAATTTCTCCAAATTATATTGTAATACAGCTGGGAGAGAGCCAAGGATGAAGCTTTCTTGGCATGTTGGTGTCTCGTTCTTCCTTTGGCTGTAAGAGCAGAAGCCACCACCTTCTGCTGGCTTATGACCCTTTAGGTTCTTGTCTCTTTGTTACCTGAATCCAGACGTCTGTAGGGTTACCTGGCCTGTTTGGAGGCATGGCCTCAATTTAAGGTAGGAGTCTCCTTAGTTGTTTCTCATTCATTCGTTCAGCAAGTGTTACAGTGCCAGACACTGTTATAGGCTGATAATAGCAGTCAAAAGACGGGCAAGGTGCTTGCTCTCCTGGAATACACATATTAGTCAGGGAGACTGACAGTAATCAAACACATCCATAAGTAAGAAAAATAACAGTAATAATTAAAATAGGGTGACAAAATATGAAGTGACTGGGAGCCTACTTCAGTGGGTGGCTGGGAAGGACTCTGAGAAGGTGATAATTCTGCTGTGGTCTTAATGATGGAGAACCAGTTATGAGAGGATCGGGGAAAGAGCTAGTACAAGGGTTGTTAAGTAGGAAAGAGCTCAATGACCAAGCAGCAGAAAGGAGGCCCGTGTAGCTGGGACAGGATGGGGAAGCAGGAGAGTGGTACAGGAAGAGGATGGAGCTGAGCAGGACCAGATCATCTAGGATCTTGTACGCCAAGGTAAGGAGCTTGAATTTTATTCTTTCTGTGTGATGCGGAGCTGTTGAGGGTTTAAAGGAGGAGTGTGATGTGATCTGACTTACGTTTTAAAAGATCAGTTAGGCTGCCATTGAGGAGAATGGGTGGTACGGAGCCTGGGGTGGGAGCAGGAAGAGCAGTTAGGAGGCTGTTGCAGTGTCTTATCAAGAGATGACTGGGGTGGTGGCCATAGAGATGGAGGAAGTGGATGAATTCAGCGTAGACTGAGGCCACAGGACTTGCTAAGATTACTGTATGTGGAGGTTAAGGTAAAGCCAGGAATGGAGGATGACTCCATGTTGTTGGATAGCGATGCTGTTAGTGGAAATAGGGAAGCCTGGAGGAGGAGTATCAGGTTTGGTGGGACTTGGGGGAGGAGGCTCATTGTGCTTTAGCCCTGTTAAAATTTAGATGCCCGTAGTCATAGCCATAGTCAAGGCACAGTCAGGTTCAGCAAACGTTAATTGAGTACTTTCTGTATGCCAGGCATTGTGCGAGGCTCTTGCATATATGTTCCTTCATTTTACCCTCACAACAACCTTTTAGAAGGATATTATTATTATTCCCTATTTGCAAATGGAAGAGCTGGGGCTCAGAGAGGTGAGGTGGCTTGCTTTAGTTTGACCCCAGATCTTCTGACTCCAGGGCCCTGGGCTGACTTGATGCTCAGGGTGGATATTCAAGGAGGCTGGTTAGTGGCTGTGTTCATGGCTTTCACTTGGAGAGAGGATGGGGGACCATATGTTGGCTCATCAAGGCCTGACTCCCATGCTTCTGGAAGAAGGGCCTATCAGAGTAACGCCCATGTGAAGCAAGCTGTTGAAAGTCTTGACGTTTTCGAAGTAGTGCAAGCTCCAAAGATCACTTGAATAAGATCCTCAGCCCCCTTAGGAAATGCCATGTGAACAATGGTGACGTTTTGCACTAAATGAGCAGTTTTGTAAAAGTGTTAAGTAGAATAAAACAAAAAGAGCTTAACAAATGTTGAGGGACTGTGGAGATGCTGTCCCAGCTCTTGGTTGCCACCTCTTTACTCTGCAGCCCAAGTGGGAACTAAAGAAGACAGGGAGGCAATTTCTTTGGTTCTTGGGTTTCAGTTATCAATTTTGGGACCTAAGCAGGAGCATTATTAAGTTACCTAGAATCCTTGGTTTTCTTAAGACATTGGGAATTAGAATAAAGATAGTGAGTGCCTTAACAAGGCTGGAGGCAGTGCTGAACATGGCTTCAGGCCTGCAAGGTGACTCTTCTCCAATATTCTGGGAGCTGCCTTGAGGAGCCAAAAGGTCCAGAGTGGCAAGTGCTGCCAAGCATACCAGTGAGAAGAGCCTTGATAGAGTCCCTCCTTAGGCTTTGGGGCCGGATACCCTCCTTACACTTGAAGCTGTTTCTTCTCCTCTTTATCGCACAGGCCAGATAAGAGCTGGTGCTGACAGAGCAGATCTGTCACACTCTCAGGATACCAATACCACCCCTGTCAGAAGACCTGATTTATCAGGATGCTCTGACCTCCACTCTTGAGCACCATTCACATAACTCCAGAACTTCTCCCCGTGCCCCCCAAAATTGCCGTGCTAAGTAATTGGAACATTTATGTTTAACCAACCAGAATCGCTGCTCAAATTATAGTCAAAATCTATATGAATGGAAAATTAATCTTGCAAAAATGTTATGAGAAACTGTAGGACCTGTTTATATTTTGACTGGCCCTGTCTGGGGTTGTAGGTGGGCTCTTCCTTATGTTGAGCTCAAATCCGTCTCCAGTTCTTCCTGGTCCTCACTCTGTCCCCTTATGAAGTCTCTTGGGTTTGCTGTCAGACTTCTTTAGGGCATAACCCAAGTCCTTCCTGGCCCAGGGCTTGTGAAGATGTGCTTACTTCCAGGGATGATTACCCAGGGCCCACCTTCACAGGGATCATCCTTCCCTGCCACCTTCCATCCATGATCCCTGGTCTTCTCCTAGGTGAGGTTGGCTGCCCATTAACTTGGAGGGGCTGCTCCTGGGAGGAAGAGCGGGGCCTGGGAATAAAGGCTAGGTTGTTTCAGCTCATTTGCCAAGTTACTTTCTCAGTAGTCTGAAGAGAAATAGAAGCCCTTGTATGGAGGAGAGAGAGTTTCTGTGCTCATTGAAACCAGCCACCTGGCTCCCAGCCGGGCCATCTCCATCACTCCCAAGAAGCAAGGTGGCAATTCAGGTTTAAGAACAGGTATTTCAGGGGATTTGTCTGTGCCTGCTAAATGCGTCTTAGGTTGGGGTGGTAGGACATGAGATTCTTCATGAGTTTTAGAAAATCAGGAAATGGAGCAGGCTGGGGCTTTTGAGCTGAGGGGCCAGGATAGCAGATAAAGTCGGAGGACTTTGTGGTCTCCAAGTGAGTGTGGGGATCCAGTGTTTGATAGGCAGCCTTGGTTTGGAGGGTGAGTCTGGAGTAGTGGGAAGAGATCAGAAGGGTGGCGGTGTGCAGGAACACAGGAGTTGATTGTTGTTGTGGGCAAGTCATCTGCCCTTTCTGGGCCTTGTGTGATGACACATAGCCTACCCTACTATTTGGGAAGGTTGAATGAAATAGCTGAAGGACCCAACTCTTCTTCTTTTGCTCAAAAAGTGCTGAACCAGAAGCTCTGCCATTAGCAAGCTGGGTGAGTTTGATCAGAAATGATCAGATCTGAAGACCTCAGTATTCAGGAGACATTAATCTGGTTCATCTCTTTTCTCTTTTCTCAATGTATGTGTCCTATTTTTAAATTTAGTGTTCCAATAGCATGCTATAACCCACTTACTCAGTTTCCTTGTGAGTAACATGGGGATAAAAATATCTGCCCTGCCTACCTCAGTGGGTACTTGGGAGGGTCGGATACGATGATGAATGTGACTGCACTTAGAGCTTTCTGTAAATGCAGGAAATGGTGGTGATGATGCTGTGGTTGATAACATTTTTGGCAGAAAGGGCAGGCAGCATCCATATTAGGGAAGAAGGGTTGGGGAGCTGCCTCTAGGTCTGATCAAATGACAGCTATATTTTTGTCCACTTTTAAAAACTATCCTCCTCCTAATGTTAGAATGTAAAATTCGTCTTAGGGCCTATACCTTCCAGCTCAGAATTCTTTTACCCAAGACTCGGAGCTTACTTAAGCTGGTACGAGTTGGGTGTGGTGAGCCCAGGAGTTGTTTTTAAGGTTGTGCAGCGTATATGAAGTGGTTGCTGGATGCTGGATGCTGCTCCAGGCGTGTAGAAGATGTGCTCTTTGCCTTCACTTACTAGAGATCCACCAAGCTGACCTTGTGATAAGACCCAAGGCTGTTTGGGGGCTCCTGAGTGCCACACAGATGATGTTATTCAGAACTTTGGCCCTGGGCCCAAGGGGAAGGAGAGAGGGAGGAGTAACAGTGGGTATGCTGTTTTGCTGATGCTTTGTCTGTAGGGTTTTCTGATCATGGCCGGGAAGCTGCCAGCCCCGCAGACTCCTAAGGGAAGGGACAGCAGGTTATCATGCAAAGAGCATTGAATTTAGAAATAGAAGACCTGGATTCATGTCCAATCATTACTTATTGATGAAGTTGTCTTGAACAAGTCACTTAACCTCTCTGATCCATTTCCTCATTCATAAAATGGGGTTCAATGGTGTTAATAGCTAAGATGTGTAAGAAAAGGCTTTGTAGACTGTAGAGCCCTTGAGAGGTAATATAGATAGTGGTGGTCTTGCTTTCTTCTTATTCCCGTTATTAACAGGGCGTTTCTTTTCTCCAGGTGGAAATGAGGCAGGCTTAGACTAGAGTTTGTGTTTTCAAATTCCCTGGTGAATGGAGATGACTCTAAAAGAAGCTGGGAGGAGCAGATAAAGCCTAACCCTTGAACATGGTGCGAGGATTTCTGAAACAGGTGTTAAGGGGTCTATTTCTCTTTCCTGTCTAGGTGCTCATGCCTTAACTCTGCTGTTCTGGGAAGATCAGGCTGCTGCCTGCCAGATGAGGTCCTAGGATTCCAAGGGCTTGCCTGGGACCAGGAGCTAGGAATTCAGAGGCTGGCAGTGGTTGGGAGGGGTGAGAGGGTGCTGGGGGTGGTGCATAGTCGCAGGGCCAAGGAGCAGCCTGGCCTGATGGCTCTGCCTGCTTCACGTTTGGCTTATTAGGACTCAGGCTGCTCTGACCTCAGTGCCAGCTTACCCCAGACACAGAACGCAGGACGCTCTGACTAGACCCCAGGGCAGAGTAAGAGAAACCTCGTAGACCTAGAGATTTTTTCTTTTAACCTTGCACTGTGCTTATTTAAACCTACTAATCTCCAGGGTGGCTCAGTTTGGAGATGAGGCTACTATCTTAACACTACCAAACTGAGAGGATCTCTTGACTCTGACAGTAAAAGCATTTTAACCATCTGTATTAGGAGCTTTAAAAATGACCTTTAAAGTCATTTTACCTCTGGGACTTTAACCCAAGGAAATAATTTGAATTGCAGAAAAAGCCTGTATTCAAAGATGTGTTGATTATAATGGGGGTGGGGTGGGGAGGAGGAGGGCACATCTAAAATGTCCAGTATTTGAAGACTGTAAAACTTTCTAGAATGTAGACACCATGGGGAAGGACTCTTGCTCACTCTGTGTCTCCAGAACCTAAAGCAATGCCTGGCACACACATGACCATTTGAATGGTTGTGAAAAAAATTTACATCCATATGGTAAGACTATTATTCAGCTCTTTCAAACGAAGACGTCTTAAAGACATAGGAAATTTTCTGTGTTAATAGGATGTGAAAAAGCAGGATAGAGATTTCTAAATACAGTAAAATCACAATTCTCTTATTTTAAGAGAAGGAAAAAAGGCTAAGAAGGAGAAGATACCCAGGTAAAGCTCTAGAGGGTGAGATCCTGGGTGACTTTTCTTTCTTTCTATATTTTCTAAAATGAGTATGATGTTGTGGTTGGGAAAGACATTTTATAATAAATCATATTCTTTTAAAAACAAGGAGGTTAGATTAGTTTATTCATGGAGCAAACCAGCAGCCTCTAGATCCAGCTCCTCCTTCCTTTCAAAGAGCCAGGCAGCCTTTGTGAATACACAAAACACCTACACACTTTGGTTGTGTCTGTCAGCTTGGCGTGGAAGCTGATCCCTCCTAACTTCAAAAGGGTGATAGAAACTGCACAGTGTTGAAACTGTGCAGGTTCACGTTGCAGAGACATGCCCATACATTTATATCCCATCACTGAAGTGAAGACGTTTTGTAGTAGAGAGAAGAATTTTAAGAAGATAGATTTTTCTGGGTGGGTGGTTAATTCTTAGAATTCTTTCCCTGGTTCATGGTTTTGGGAAGCTGTTGAAAGTGCCGTCTGCTTTCCTTCATTCTTGTTTTAGCTCGTGCCATCTTAAAGTCACTTTTTGCTGAGCGGCTTGTTTGATGGAATGTTCCTCTAAGAAGCAGTGTTCTCATCAAGCAAAGACTTCCCTAGAATTAAAATCCCCGCATCTTAGGTGGGCTTTGGCACCTGAGCTGGAAGTTCTTAGTTTTAAATGCAGCCGGGTTCTGATAGATTAAGGGCCTCTCGGAGGAAAGGCCCACTGTCTCACCCAGGGAGGAAGCTGTGATGATGGGGGTTTCTCAGACATTACTGACCTATTGTTGTGTCTGTAATCCTTTCCATTCACATGACTTCTCCTTCATTATCTCTTTCTTTCTCTTTAGCCATAACCAGCAGACCACAGCATTCAGGCATCCTGTGAGTGGGCAGTTTTCTCCAGAAAATAGCGAATTTATTCTTCAAGAAGAGTAAGTACTTTTATAAATTCTCCTTTTTCAGGCGGAGTTTGGAAGCTTTAAGGCACTTGCTCAAAACAAAGCTTGTTGGACTATTTTCTCTCTCAGAGGGGCTTGGAGTAAGTTGTGTGATTCAAAGTGAAATGCAACGGGGTGGGCCCGGTGGCGCAGCGGTTAAGTGCATATGTTCAGCTTCACCGGCCCGGGGTTCGCCGGTTCGGATCCTGGGTGGGGACATGGCACCACTCATCACATCATGTTGTGGCATGTGTCCCACATACAAAGTAGAGGAAGTTGGGCACGGATTTTAGCTCAGGGCCAGTCTTCCTCAGCAAAAAGAGGAGGACAGGTAGCAGATGTTAGCCCAGGGCTGATCTTCCTCAAAACAAACAAAAAGAAATGCGAGAATTTTGTTTTTCAATCTCTGTACTTCTCTCAGTGGGAAGATGTGGAAGTGGGGAGAAGATATGGGGATGTGCTGTGATTGGTATTGTCAGAGCATCTTAAAAGCTCCCTTTCCCCTCGAGCATCATCTAACACATTAGCTGTGCTCTGAGAGAACACGCTCATCTGATGTGAAAGTACCTTAAATATAGCCTCAGACCAAGCTGAGCCAGCCTCCCAGGGAGGCCTCAACTAAGAGTCCAAAGCCAGGACTTAGAAGAGAGGACTGGTGACACTCATCGTCCCTGAACATTTTGCATCCTTTCTGCTTGCTTTCCTGACACGGGAACTCTCCTAGCTCTCCAGTCCCATTTAAGCAGGGCCTCTGGGGTGCTTGGAGGCAGGCTCTGCCAACCAGGGCCTGTCTACTTTAACAAATGCGCGTACAACCCCAGCAGGGTGTGTTCTTCTTCCAAAAATGAAGGCAGAGAAACATGTGCAAGTAGCTCTGTTTCCTTCTGCTCATCTGGAGCAGTGCTGTTTGGAGAAAACAATTCTGCCTGAGAATCTATTAGATGTTGGCTTTAAGTTTTTTTTTTTTCAAATCATTTTTCTTCTGTTCTGTCACCTAGACCAAATAGGATCTTAAATTATCAGTATTTATATTTTTACAGCATTTCCCTCCCTCGGTACTTACACCATTGAACTTTGTATTATGGAAAATTTCAGACATATACAAAAGTAGAGATACAGTGATAAATCCAATATATTTACTGCCCATCTTCAACACTTTCCAGAACGTGGCTGATTTTATTTCATCTATACTCTCCCCCTCACTCCCTGGATTATTTTGAAGCAAATTCCAAACATTTCATCTCTATAGTACGTTCAGCTTAGAGTCATTATCCTACAGAACTTTTAAAACCAGAAATCTATAATTATGATAATACTGACGTTCTTTGCATGTTTACATGGGGATTTTACGTGCATATCTCATTTTAATACAATAATCCTGAGATATAGACCATCCCCGTTTTAGAGATGAAGACACTGAGACTCAAAGAAGCAAAGTCATTTGCCCAAAGTTGCATAGTTAGAGGCACAAAAGCCTGGATGGATGTCATCCAAGCTTGATCTCTTTCAGTAAGGTCTAACCCCCTCCCTAGTCAGAGGCTGCTTGCTAAATTATTTTGATACTGGTGGCCCATGGGACATGACAGCCAGACTCTGGGGTTGGGAGTCTGACTTTGAAAGCATTAAAACCGTAAGAAAGAGTGGGTAGAAGGTAAAGATTGTCTTGTCTCCTACATCGAGAAAGAACTGTTGTGTAAAGACAGAGCCAGAATGTGGATTCTTTGAATTCCAGCTTGGAGTGAGTTTGTTTATAGATTCCTGAAGGTCAGAAGTACTTGGGAGGTCATTGAGTTCAGCCCCCTTCCTTAGGCATCCTGGAGACACGAGTGCCTGTCATTAAAGCTCTGCACGGAGAATCTATCAGAACACTTAGCTTGGAAGTTACCAACTTTAATAGAGCTTCTAGAGAAATGCAGACTTTCCATCACTCAACACTTCTGTACACACATCATTTTCCTCCTTGTTAACAGAAGACTTTGTCTGCTGACCACTTCTGAGAAGGTAGCCTCTGTTATCCTATGAACATATCTCTGTAATTAATCTCAATTCAGTCCAGTTTTCAAGAAGATTTTTATTCTTTTCACGAGTCACTTTTTCCCTCTAGGTCCCATTTCCTGAATGTCGTAAGACATGCTTGCTTGTCTCAGGTGGTGGGTGCAACTGTATGGGCAGACATTCCTCGAAGCAGGCAGGATGTGCTTTAGGCATTGAAAGTAAGGGAGGATTCCTATGAACTGATGTGGTGATCCCTGCACTTATTCATTGAATACTTAGTAAGTCCCTACACTGTGTCTGGGGCTGCGCCAGACTCTGCAGTTACAGCAGCAAGCAAGACAAATGTGGTCCTGTCTGTGAAGAGCTTACGGTTGAGTAGGGAAGATAGATGACTTAACAAGAGATCACAAATGTGATAAATGTTCATGATGGCGGAAAGATAGGGTTCAATGGGAGTTGATAGAAGAGGGTTCTAACCTGGCTTAGGGCTCGTGGAAGGCCTCTCCATCCTGGGAAGGGCTGTTGTTTAAATTGAGATCTGCCCAGTCAAGCTGCACAACTCGGGCAAAGACCTGGAGGGGAAAGTGGGTAGAGCCTGGAGGATCTAAACCAGTTAAGTTAGAGTGAAAAATGAAGAGCCCCGGATGGACTCTGGAGATGCTCGGGAGGTAAAATTGACAGGACTTGGTGATTGATTGGCTGTGATGGGGATGAAAGAGAGGGAAGACTTTCTTGAAGTGTCTGGCCCCAAACTGGAGGAAGGGGGAGGATTTAGATAAATGAAGATAAGTGTGCATGTGTGTGAGGGCCCGTCAGAGCTGAGGGAAGTGTGACCAGCCTCGGTGGGGTCAGAGGGCAGGAAGACTGAGCTGTAGTGGAGGCCTGCGAAGGGAAGTGTGGAGATAAGGTTGGGGAGGGAGGTTGCCGCCAGTTATCTAAATTGCTTCCTTCTGAAATAAACCCAGATTTGCCTCCTGGTGGAGCTCTGGAGGGTGAGTGAGGCGTGATTTCCCCGCACAGAAACCAGTTTTTAAAAATGTGACAGTGAATAAGATGCCTGTTTTGTTCCCTTAAAGGAGCTTAATTTTGTTGTGTTATGTGATGAAGAAAAAAGACGGAGATGACCATTTGTGCCATTTACACATCAGCTCTCAGACTGATGTGTTTGGTGGAAAGGGGAAAACCGACTCTTTTCCTTCTCCAAAAGGGTCTGTTAAGGCCACATCAACTCCTCTTGCCGGAGCCTCCACCCTGGTTTCCTGGAGTGAATTCTTCTAGAGCAGTGGTTCTCAAAGTGTGGTGTCTGAACTAGCATCATCTGAGAACTTGTTAGAAATGCACACCGCCCCCCAGCCCTGCTGAATTAGAGACTCTGGAGGTAGGAGCCCCTAGTCCACCTACAGGTGATTCCGATTCAGGTAAACTTTGAGACCCACCGATTTAGACAACTTGCTATTCCCATCCCTCCTAAGTTACTCCCAGTTCTTCTGGCATCCGTAAGTCTCCTCCACACACCCTGCCACAGTGACAGTCTTAGATGGATTTTAGTCCAGTGATCTTGGGTTCCTTCTCCTGTGTGTATGTGGGGAAACAGTCTCCATGGTGGCTTCCTTAAAGCATTGCGTCTCCCCCACTGTTGGCAGGTGGGGCTCACCTGAGCTGCTTGGTGTAACAGGTGCACGCCCACCAAAAGATGGTTTCCTATCTTACAGATTAGAAGCATGCAGAAGAGAAATAATGTGAAAGCTATGATCTGGTGGATCCAGAGGACGCAAGCTCTGAATATTCTAGTTTCTGTGTTACTAAAACAGAATCAGTCAGGATGGGCTAGGGGCTGCTGTGCTAACAGCAACAAACAAAATCCCTGTGACTTAAAGCAATTAAGTTTACTTGTCACTTTTGCTCCGTGTCTGTCACAGGTCACCTGAGGGGTTCTGCTCTGTCATCTTTGCTGAGGGAGGCTCCATCTCTGTGCTTCCATCATTGCCAAAGGCAAGAGAAAGGGAACTTGGGGATTTGCTCACTGGCTCTTTCACTCACATCTCATTGGCTAAAGCAAGTCACATGACCACTCCTAACTTCAAGGGGTCAGGGAATTGCATTTCTACCATGCACCTGGGGAGAGAATCAGAAATATTTGTTGGTCAGCACTAATGACTACACTTCATAACCTACAATCCAGATTTATTAAGGGAAGCAGGACCTTTTGAGTCTGTCACTTCTTTTGCTGCATGACTAGTGTGTTTGCTTTCTCATTTCTCCTTTTCTGCTATGGTACCTAGTTCTTTGTCAGAACCCCCAAGGTGAGTGGGTATCCATCATCAGATCCTGCAGCCTTGTCCCCCAGGGGACTCCCCTGCATACCCAAGCCAGCAGGCATGTGGAAATCCCTCTTGGAAGAGCTCATTTAAGCTCGGGTCGCATTAATAAAAGTGTGATGTGCAGAGAAAGGGGGAGAATGATTCTGGTATACCATGGTGTTTGTGGACTACTGCATTCACTCATTCCAAGTTTATGAAGCACCAGGGACATGCCAAGTAAACACTGTGATCTGGGTACTAAATTTCAAGAGGGGTGTTGAGCAATTGAGATTCCCCTGAGGAGAGAGACCATTGTGGTGAGGGGCCTGGAAACCCTGTCCTGTGACCTCTCATGTTTAGTCTGCAGGAGAGAAGATGAAGCAGGGTCTGCTGTAAGTCTTCAAGAAGGGCTGGCAGGTGCAAGTGGGGTACATTTATTGTGTGGCTGCCAGAGGCAGGCATCAGATCAATGAGTAAAAGTTTTAGGTTGGCAAATTTCAGCTCAGTCCATAATTTTCCAGGAAAGAGATTTTCTAGCATCCCTTGTTTTGGGATCTAGAATTTCATCTTTACCATTAAATGAAGTGACCTACCTCCCAGAATAAGAGTTGGCTTTTTCCATTAATAATAATGTTATTATTTTTATAGCTAACACTTAGAGCCCTACTATTTATTACCAGGTCCTTTTCTAAGTGCTTT